GGTGGAATCTGGTTCGTTGACTGAACCTTTATGGGATGCCTCAACAATTTCATATCCTTATCCTAATAATGGAATATTTGTTCGGGAATATACCATTAAGCTTCTATGTGGTTCTTTCCCCAATATTCCAGCATCCGAGGTACATCATGGGATTTATTTTGAGCAATAAGTAAATTACAAGTTCAGTTTTGTTGCAAATGCAAGCTCCATCAAGTCCAAAGTACCCAAATTAATCGTCAATCTTGTTCATCTTAGAATCTAAAAACAAATCCACTCAGTACCCAAATTAAAAGAAACCAGTTTTGGGTCTGTTTAGGGGGGGGGGGTTGGTTTAAAATTGAGGAATTCTTTTAGAAATTTGAATTGAAGAGTAGAGGATGAAAGAGATGAAGATTATAGTTGACATAAACAAGAGTAAAGGAAAGGAAAGTATATAAAAAAAGTAGTCAATATGCAAACAAAGAATTATTATTTATGTTTTATGTTTTGGCATAACTCACACCCGTTAGTGACAAAGGACAGAAGCTGAAAGAAAAGTAGTAAATATATATGCAAGAAAGAAAGGAAAGGAAACATAAGTTGTGAGTTATGTGTTATGAATATGATGGATGGAGGTCTTTTAAATAATAAAATTAGGTTAAGTGATTGTTTTTGGCTGGCATATCCAGGAATAATTGAGATTTGATTGTAGGTGACAAGGTTTGTGAACGAGGGGCTGTTTGAGTCAAAAAATGATCTATCTACATTCAAGAACCACATAAGGGACTTCCTTGTGCAATCTAAAGAATTTTCAGCGCAGGTAACCAAACTAAAAAACATATATACTATAAATGGTCTGTTGGATAAATAAAATAGTATTGTTGATGATGGTTTTGGTGATTGGTGGCAGGATAACAAGGATCTATACGCAGAAGAAGCCGCAGCCCAGAAAGAAAGAGAAAGACAGCGGATGCTTAGCATTCCTGGATTAATTGCACCCAATGAAATAATACAAGATGAGATGCTTGATTCATAAAATCAATTTTTATATTTTTCTTCTTGATTGTGATTATTATTTAGTAATGGAGGTATGTGAGCCAGTCACAGTGAATCATGGTGAAGCTCCGTCTATCCAAGACAGACATTGGAAGAAGAAATGATGATTGATGATTGATATGTAGAGTAGTGGTAGACGACTAGTAGTATTATTTTAGGTGGTTTTTATGTAAGCACTAAGCAAGGAAGGTTTTATTTTGTTGATTGGTGTAAGTAAGTAAGTAAACAAGGAAGAAGAAAAAAGAGCAAGTATTTCAATTTGATCAAGTGCGCGTGGGATATGGGGGTTTTGCTTGTTTCTAAATAGCTGCATGTATTATGTATAACATATGACGGGTGGTTGCTACTTGCTAGCAAGTTTTGAACAAAATTCTTTTTTATGTTTGTGTTTATGTTTATGGTGTGACTTCAGACCCAGTATCTTTTCGATTTAGACCGACTTTGGTTTACCCTTTTCTGCTTTATCTTTTTTAGTCGAAAACTATTTTACTTTATTATTTCTTGGATAAAAATAAATTTAAATAGATTGATGGTTGCATGTTTGCTTCTTTTCTAATATATATATATATATATATATATATATATATATATATATATATATATATATATATATATATATATATATGCACTTGAATAGTTATTAAGAGAATCTTGATTAATCAGGTGCATTTCATGATTAAATTTATATTTCCAATCAAATGATTTATCGTATCATGGGTTCTGGACAAGTCTACAAACGAGTGGAATCAGAGGTGTTGTGATTTTTAAGTTTACTTGGTTTTAAGATCGAATTCAAGGGATAAGATACAACATCAATATGTATAAGATCATGCAATTTTTGCAGACACATCACAATAATATATATTGAGGTAAACGTTTATGCTGATAAAAATACCTCTTATACATAATTATATCCTTTTGCAGATAATTGTTGACAGCTGACCACAGTAAGTATAACATAGATCATGTTTTAACGAAGTTACCCTTCCGAAACATTTTTCATGTACGTTATGGCCTAAGAATGTTACAGTTTTTGATACTTTTGAAGTTTTACTTTCATTTAACTTTTTGAGGAAAATGACTCAAGAGGATAACCAAAATTTTGAGTTTGTACTCATTTGGTCCCATTCATTTTTTATGTATCTAATATACCATCAAACTTATTGTTTGTGTTCACCATATCTCTTTGACCGGCTATCACATATCAAAAGCCGGTCAAAAGGGTTATGGTAAACTCAAACAACAAGTTCGATGATATATTAAGTACAAAAAAGAAAAAAGACCAAATGAGAACAAACTCAACAGTTAGTTACCCTTTAGAGTCATTTTCCCTATATTAATTGGCTCATGCTTCTTTGTACTTGGAGCAACTTAAGGAACAGGTTAGGTTTGTGGGATTCTCTCTGTGATTTCTTGAAATTTGGAGTACATTGTCGGTGTTTGGTGTAATCAGCCAAACAACTATTTATATATTTTTTTTCCCAAAGGGATCCGATAAATCAGTTACTTTGTTTCCGTACATGTCGGATTCTAAACAAAAGTTTGTAATCTTCATTTCATATAATCGTTATATTTATAGCCAACAATATCAAGTTTACCTGGTAAAAAGTTTTGGTCCCGTTTAAATATAACCAATCGTTGAGATGCAAATGTTGATGCCAATGACATTATTCAGATGATCAACAAACTACTTGACCTAAGTGAGGACTAATCGGTGAACCGAATTTGTAAACTAAATAGTTTTAGGAACATCAAATATAACCAATATTTTTAAGAAACAATTATTGAAAGACATACTGTTAACAACAATACAAAATAAATATCATACATATTTTTTTTTTATTACAAAATGTAGATTATAGTATTGAGAAAAATGAAATTAAGTGAGATCATTTTCAATATTTAGATGTATGAAAATAGTTATATAAAGAGGGAGACGTTTGAACCAAACTTATTATAATTTGGGAAATTGACTTGATAGGGTAATGAAATTATTGGGAGTGTTCATATTTATGTAATTTTTTTGTACATATGTAGATAATGATCCATGAGCATAATGAACTATTGATTTTGTTCATATCTAGACAATTTTCTTTTTTTTATTCAAATTCGACCATTTAACTTATTAAACTTTATATAATACTCATTGTTTCAAAGAATTTAATTGGTAGTTGAAGTCGTGAAACATTCGCTCCACTCTTGTTACCTCAAACCATTTATGACCTTTGCTAAACTATCACCAATTATTACCCCTAATGTATTGATACCAATGCAAAAACCATTAATACATATAAAGTAAGATATAAATCAAACAAGCTAACAACACATAATAGCAAATAAATAAATCATCTTCTAAAGTATGCTAATGCACATTTAAAGTTCTAACTAGCCAAGCATAAGGTCCGGTGAGTTCGTGTTTTTAAGAAAAATACCTTAACGTACTTAAACCATGTTAAAATTTCATCTTGATGATGTCGGTAAGTTAGGTGTATTCGACAAGAAGATTAAAAATGAACTATACTCACTTTACTGATATAATTTGACCGCACAAAAGAAAATAAATATACAAGCATTTGATTTGTGTGGGAAACTCTCAACCTCACAAAAGCATCTGATGTGGATTGACAGTTGACTCCAATTATTTTTTTTTTTTTAAATAAAATAAAAGTTTAATACATATTGATTGAAGGCAAACGGGCAACAAGCTGCGCCGCTAGCTCTTTCTGGATGGCAAAACCAATTCTTTTGAAAATAATATTTGTGGATCTAGGAGATATGACATTAGAATGCATGACCCGTTGGACTCTATTAAGGAGCTCTACCGCCTCCGGTGCGAGAAAACCAAATGTATCGAATGCAAAAGGAACAAACACATGTTGATTTTATCTACATGCATTCTCGTGCTTTACCACTTTGCATGCAGCGACTTTCAAAGTGGCATGTCCAACTGTGAAACCCCCACTCCCCAAACCAACGAGTGGAGAGACCCCAGTAAGATCCACGCACGCATGCTTCTCTCCTATCCATACAAGACCAAAATGTCAGCCGGTCTAAGTGTGGACCTGCCATCCTGTAGGTTCGTCAAAAAGTTCACTGGCGCTTCTTTCTTCACAGCAATACCAACATGCCGACAAGCATCAAAGATAACATCCCGAACCACATCATGTCTATACTTGAAATCAGGGAGCTCTCTACAATGAACCGCGTGTTCCCCAAAGGTATCCAAACATGCCTTGCGACAAACTGTGCATATCTCGTCAATTGGGAATATGGGAATCATGAGGCGGTAACGAAGTATAGTTCGGTACTCCATAGGAGACATATGTTGGCCAAGACCATCAATAAGGATAGTTAGCAGAAAATCCGGAGCATGAGGCGCCCGCAGACACTCAAAGAATGCTTTCTGTCTGACAGTCATGTTGAAGTCGACTTCCAATTATTGATTTAAATTTCTAAAATAATGGTACTATGTGGAAAACTTTAATAAGTTGGATGGTTGAATGTATTAAAAAAATTGTGAACAAAACTAATAGTTAATTATCCTTTTGGGTATTATCTTTATCATGTATATGCTATGTAACTGTAACTTGCTACAATAGTCATAATGAATATATATGAACGATTCCAATAAACGATTCCAATAAATTCGTTGCCTTTATGTATACAAAAAAGGTTATGTGAACAAAACAAAAAGAATATCACCCTAACAAGTCAATTTCCCTTCTTCTTCTTATTATTATTATTATTATTATTATTATTATAGCCCTCTAGTCTAAATAGTTGGCCGGTCCACTAGGAACTTCTTGTGCTTAAGCGGCCAGGGCACTAGTCAGCAGCCTAGACCAATTTGCATGCAACAGCCAGCCGTAATGATATAAACCGGACAATTTTTATTAATTCCTTTGTTCAGGGAATGCTCAAAGAAAAATTGATGAGAATTCTATGAAGATACAGATTGCCGGTTGTCTAATTTAAACTTTCAGCCTTGAGATTAGAAACACAAAATTCTATAGTATTTCAAATCATTCATCTTCCAGTCATTTCCAAACCATTTTACCAAGTGTACGTGTGTGTGTGTGTGTGTACACAAACACATTTACTGGAGCAATTTTACAATTAACCGCAGCAATGCAATGCAATGCAATGTATACTTGAATCATCTCTCAACACAACTCTAATGATACAATTAACAATGAAATGACATCATGAATATCGGAATGCTGATGTGGCAGGCATCTCTCTTTCTGTCTGTCATTCAGCAACCGCAATAAAAGGAAGCCCCCTGCCAATAATACAATTCAAAATAACATCATAAAACTAAGGGAATTCACACCTTCAAAAATCAAAGCTTTTAAATCCATCCATAAACAAAAACATTTACCAGCCTCCATGTCTTGAAAAATAGTCATTATCCAAAGACACAGCCAGTGCAACTGTCACTGCCCTCTCTGACAATGTCAATCGACGCTCCACATTAAATTCTCTCACCTACAACAAACAATTAAAAAACATCATCATCATCATCATCATCATCATCATCATCATCAGTAGCTATTTAAGTACCTTTCCAGAGAGGTGTGATGTGGCAGCACTTTCAAATCGGATGACATATTGACCAGCATCAGTCAACACCTCATAACCAAAACCTCTCCAGTCACGGTCAATCTCAGCCAACACCTCACCATGAATCCCCTTTAAAGTAAATGTCCAGTGCCAAAAACCAGGATTCTCTACCACTGCAAACTGCTCATCACTGCATGCACAAAAAAATGACCAATCTCCCCTCCTCAATATACTTACTAATTACCATAGGGAACCAAATACAAACAATTTACAAATTTACCCCAAGTACAGATCATAAACCCTCCTCCAAAGATGCCATCTTCTATGAACCACACCAATTTCCTGGAGACAAAATTTTAATAATTTTATTCTCGAAAATTTTTCGATTTCAAAACAGTAAACCCATCATTCATACCTTTCCACCTACTTCTGCATAGATTGAGCTTGTTATCCACCAAAAGGGCCTTCTCACCTGTATATATTAATAAAGTAAATAAACTTATATATATAATGAAGGGGTAGTAAAGTAAATATATGTCCATTAGTCTTACCCTAAACAGCTCGTTACCATAGCCATCTGTTATAGTAGCAACAAAAGGTCGCCTAAGACGAAGCAACTGCCAATACAAATTGAGAAAAAGTCAAAGCATCGTATTCACCAATATAAAACATAAATACAATCTACCTGTCTCATAATCACATTGCTCTCCTCACGAATAAAACCTGCAGGCTGAAAAGAAAAGAAAAAAAATGTTATCTTAATCCCTTTTATATAACATCAAACATTTAAAGAGAAAATGGATTTTGGAAAAAAAATACCTCATGTGGGTTGCTCACATCAACTATTGCATATCTGTTCGCCTAACAAACGTATCGATATTCATAAAATAACACAATCATTATTTTTTTTCTTTAAACACACAAAAATCATTATTAATACCAAGTAATGAGTGTTTCAATTACCTGTTCAAAGCCAAGTGTAAGGTTGGCCCACTCTATGTCCCTAGTAATGAGCAGATTAGATCTTGAAAGAAGAGGTGCAATCCAAGCCTGGAAGATTAATGCATCATTTTCTTTTCTGTCTTCAACTCTTAATCTTACTAAGGAAGTAAATTCTACAAAAGAAATTAAAACCTCAACTCACCTCCTCAGGGGAAGAAGATTCTAGAGGCTCTGTGGATAATTGTTTGGGTCCATCATCCCCACTTAAAGACCTGCCATGGAAACCCCTTTCTTCTTTAACACCACTCTCAATAAACTTTTGCTTTCTTTTTTCATGTGTCTTTTTCATTTTAGCATCTGCAACCCACAGCTTTACTAGAAAATCTCTACTCAAGTTACTTCCATTGTGTATTGCTCTAGAACCATAGTACCCTTTGCCCAAACCAGTTTCCTTGAATACTGGAATCTTATCAGCAACAAGAACATCATTTTGTTGCTTCTTCACTATAGCTCTAATGACTTTTGGCTGAGTCACACGCTGCAAATTTTTTATCCAGTTCATTGTCAACCAAGTTCTGACAACTTAAACAACACTTAACCCTTGTCTTACTCCATTGACTTCTGTTTGAAAGCAAAAAGTTGTAGTTTAGAACATAAGAAATCACATCTCCATTGTTAAACACAAAGATTTACTTAGAATATTGATGCAAAATTCACATTTGTAATATCTAAATTGAAAGATGAACTCGTTGTTGAGGTTGAAAAGCTACAGGTACCGGTTATTAAACAGAAATGAGAAGTTCTAAAAATGTTTTTCGGATCTTAATCTGGAACTAGCGTTCAATGAAAATGATTGTGTGAAACAATCATTTTCATTTGTCATTTTAATTATCTGAATCATTTCAAACAAAAAGATTGCTTGATAAAACTGATGATAAACATTAGATAAGAGGATAGTTCTCATTTTTCTCTAAACATTTTGTAGTGGCTAATTACTAAAGGATCCACCAAGCCATTTTTAAGGATTTGTTATAATTCCATGTCTATTATAAGCAACTACATATAGATGCACCAAATGGAAGAACTTCTGACTTCCCTTGTTAAGCAAAGCTCAACTGATTTGTCAAACTTAATCATCCACGCATACTCAAACATGAGGATCAATCTGAGTTTTTGTCTAAATCATTGAGGCATTTTATCAAACAGTTGGTGCTCATAAAAAAATCACTACAAAAAGTTGAAACCAGAACAAATACGAAAAAGGAAACAACCAGTTATCCATTAAAAAACAAAATCCTCGTCCTACACTTCATCTTCACTACCAGCGGAGACGCAACAAGTACATAAGAATCATACAAAACACAAAAAGAAGCAGCAATACTAAACGGAGGTCATAGAAAACGCAATACCAGCAGAGAAGAGAAATCGCCGAATAAGCTCTGGGGAGGAATTGAAAAGCAATTTCTTGAATACTCGACCTCAATTGCTCCTGGGCTTCTCTAATGCGTTTCTTGATAGTCGACGCTCGATGATGTCTTGATCGATGGTAGCAAATTGAAGAAAATGTGTATTTGAGTTGTTAATTGACGGTAATCCCTTTATTTAACGGGATACCAAATTACCAATACCAATATATCACTTCTCGTCTTTTTCCTTTGCCCTTTTCAACAATTTGACTATCTATTAAACATTGTCGCATTTGAAACATAGCTGACAAAAAGAAATGCACACTTATATATAAAGCGAGTTTGACCCGTATAAAAAGAAACGATGGGTCAACGAGGTTGCGGCCCTTTGGGGTTCCACGGTCCAAGGGGTGGAACCCCTAACTAGATGGTGAATTAGATCGATCAACGTATTGGGTCTACGAGGGAGAACCCTTGGAGAATGATTATTTTATCTATCAACGGTGTCCCGTGGGGGTTGGGGCATAGCTCATGAACTTATATGAAATTTTAGAGTTGGAATGGAGTGGAAAAACATGTTCGAAAGTGGCAAAAGTTGTGGAGTCACCTACTTTATGGGTATGGGTGTATACTCAACATACATGGGCTATGCATCAGCGGATTTAGGACCGCTGAGTGTAAAATGTTGATCCTTAGATTGGGTCTACCAAGTGCAGACGGCTGATCCGTAGACTTGGAATCAGCAAATCCAACGCTTTTAAAAAAAAATATGAAAATAGTTGTAGCTTTTAGATATCTGGTAATAACTTCCAAAGCTGTATTTTGTCAATATTATGCATTTTGGGAATACAAATAGAAGAGATACTCCATATTTTTGGGTCTCTCTCGTAGAACACTCCATATACTCTTTGTAATCTTGATTTCTTTTTGTGTCTAAGTCGGAAGTGCATTTGATAAATTTATTATATTTAATTTTGTCTAACCCAGACAATTAGGATTGAAATATTAATCACGGAAAATGAACACACACGATATATGAAAAATCTAAAATTTGATTACCAATTTAATCATGGTTTATACCCAAATTCTAACACACTTGAACCGGGGGAAGTAACTTTAGTTGCCGATTAGAAGCTTCACACTAATGAATACAAATTCATGAAGAAAAACAAAAAAAACTAGTCGAAGAAATTAGGAACCTATACGAGTTTAATATGACGAGACCTAGATGGCCACATAAGCACTCACAAATTTTAGTTTATTATCTTCTTAGTTCTACAATAGTTTGTAAGGATGCAACCTGCAAATATCTACAAAATAAAAGCATCTTCATTATTTGTGGTTTATTACAAAAATGGATTTTAAAAAAATTTGGGCAAAATATAAGGACCTTTCAAATGTTAGGTGCTGTTTGTTTTTTCTAAAAAAATACTCCAGACCACTTATTGTTGCGCCGTGCAACATACACGCAGTACTTGACCCTTTGCAGCTGTTTGTTTTTCAGAAGACTTCTGACTTAAAAACTGTTGCGCATGTGCTGCGTGACGCAACACTAAACCAACTGCTTCAAACCTTTTCACGCCTTACTTTAACTTACTGCAACAGTCTGCAGACGTTAAAAAACATACTTTTTATTAAATGCTGCAACCGTTTGTTCCACCTCTTCTGCTCCAAAGGGTTGCAGAGGTGGTCCGCAAACTTCAGACATTTTTGCTTAGAAAAAACAAAAAACACTTTAATCATGCTCATGTATGTTCCTTTTTTTCCATTGTACTTCAATGAGATAAGTTTAGCATTGGTACATGTCTTATATCTCTCATTCTAAGCAAAGTACTATTGAACATATTCAAGGAACATATTGTCATTTTCACCATCACGGATAGAGCCTTGAAACTTTTGTGTAATTAAATGTCTCATAACCATTAAGGAGATACGGTTGGATCAATCCCATTTTTTGAATTGCTGCGACATCATTGACACATCTTCCATTAAATACCTATATAACTTTACTTTTAACACCCACAATCCATTAAACACCCATTTAATCCTAATCACCATTTGTTATTCATATTGAACCATTCATTTATCATTAAACCCTACTCCAAATCATCACCCACACTCCATTAAACTCATATTCAATCTTAATCATCACCTTATTTGTGACATCCCCATTTTCTTGGCCAGAAAAGGCTGATTTTGTTTATGCTTTATAAAAATCAGAGTTCTTCTTTTAATAAAAATGTTGCGGAATTCGTTCCCAGAAAAACACGATAAATATGTTATTAAAACATTTTCGAAGAAACGTATTTTATTCATTTTAAAACGTTTGGGATGTCATCGTCAATATAGGAACATAAGCATAAACAGAACTTACATTTATTTACACTAGTGATCTACATCTCTTTAATCTCTCAGTGTAATGTGACTTCATATCAACACCTGTGATATAAATAAACTGATTGGGTCATGTTGGGAAACCCGGTGAGTACATAGGGTTTTCAACCCACAATATTATAATTATTATGTTTAAACAATCAAACAATCAACCCAATTAGCCATCCCCATTATCTTCTTTAGTCTTAAGGATTTATCCTAAGAGTCATCTATTCTGCATTCGTTTATTCCGAAGTCCCTTACTTCCAGGGTTATAGGACTGACACTAAATCCATAGCTTCCAATGTTCGTTCATAAAGCACTAATTCCATAGCTGCTATAGTCTATTCATCGGGTACTAAATCCATAGCTACAAGTGTTTATATAATAGGTACTAAGTCCATAGCTACCAATTCCTTAACAGGTACTAAATCCATAGCTACCGGTGTTTGTCCAATAGGCACTAAGTCCATAACTGCCGATGTTTATTAGGCACTAAGTCCATAGCTGCCAATGTTTACTCACGTCATCTTTTATCTCTCATCGTTCATCTACCCATGTCATACCCAACATATTCGTATATATAAAATACGTATACAGTTTAAATCCTTTAAAACATGCATAAAAACGTTCATCCAACATAGACAACAAGTATACAGATAATATGCACACATAGCACATAGTTTATATAAAATACTTCATATATATGTGTAAGATGAAAGTAACTATGCACTCACTTGAAAAGGTGGTGATTCCGAACTCAGACAGCGCTTCACTTCTTAAAAAAAAAAAATTTCCTTCGACGAAACCTAGTATTATTACCACTAGAGTTTAGTGTATTATTCACCGAGACTAATTAATAGTCTAGCTATTATTACTATTATATAATCGGGAAATAATAGTTATATAACCTATAATAATAGCCCAATTACTTATTATATGTTCTTAATAACGTTAAGATAATTAAATAAAAACTATATTAAAAATAGCGTAGGCGTAGCTCACTTACAATGGGTTTTATAGAAAACCAGGCTTTGCTTGGAGCAGCATTCCCATGTGGAAAAGCTCTTCTTCTCAGAGCCGTCGAGCACTTAGGGGCTTTCGCCTTGTGCTAGGGAGGTTCCTTAGGCTTTTCGGGGGGTTTCGGGGCTAGAGAGAGGTTCTAGAGAGAGAGAGTAAAGAGAAGAAACAATGAGAAAGGTGTGAATAAAATGAGGGTGAGAGAGGTTCTATTTATAGGGTGAAAATGGCTGAACTTGGTGCCACATGTCACCATCTAGTGACAAGACTTGGGGAGAAAGCAATGGCCAAGATTGTGCCACATCACCCATTTTCGCACAACACACTTCCGACTTCTAAAATCCATAACTTTCACATACGACCTCCGTTTTTGACGTTTTTTAAATCCACGCGTAGGTAAAAATAATATCTACAACTTTCATTTTGACTCTGTCAGCTAATTCTCGACCGATCTTAAATTTATCAGTACGAGACTTTTAGACTGTTAAATGACCGCGAAGAATTCGTAACTCCTTCATACGGACTTTGTTTTCATCTGTCTTTTTACTGTTAAGTTCCTATTAATGAGATCTTTAACTCTCATTTAAGTCACGTAAGCCAAAAACCGCTCGAACTAAAATTTGAGTTTCGGGTCGTGCACTTCTAAGCCGAATCTTAGAAAAATCATAACTTCTTCATACGAAGTCAGATTTGGGCGTTCTTTTTATGGATTTTCTCAGTTTAACATATTATACGACTTTCGTTTAGATCACTAAGGCTAAAAAGTCCTCCATCTTAAAATCAATATTTACGCTTCCGGTGCCGTGTCGGTTCCGTCGCGAAACTTCGACGGGTCATAACTTCTTCGTTATAACTCCGATTTCGACGCTCTTTATATGTACGGAAACCTTGTGACATATTCTACAACTTGGTTAAGATAATTTATTCTAAATAATCTTTTGTCGAAAAGTCATTTTCGACCCCTATTACCTCTAAATTGACTAGCCCGGATCTACGGGCGTTACATTATTCACCTATTATACTACTTGCATTGTGGATGCTCTAAATCCATGTAAAGTAGAGCCGGTTCTTTGTTTTCATAGTCTTTCACCTAAAAAAACTATAAATGCTATTGTGAACGTAATGTTCAAATAGTGATCAAAGAACAATCTTATTTAGATCAATTGTTGCCCACATGAAAAATTATTTTAGATTTATCTTGTAGACACACATTGTAACGTCTCATTTTCACAATCAAAATTTTTCATTTTAAATAACATGAAATCACCATTTACAAAAAAACCCAAGTTATGAAAATTGTTAATGTATGGTCCATTAGCATGACCCAAACATCAAGACCTGGCGTGCCAGCCTTGCCTGACGCTCGCCTGTCGAACTTGTCTAGCTCTTGCGCTTGACGCTCGCCTAGCGCCCGGACGGTCTTTTCCAGCTCCTTGCTAGTTGGGCCTAAGTTGGGCTGGCCCAAGGCCTGACCTAACTCTCCCTTAACCTAATTGTACCACATAAATATAATGCTTCCTCCTCACTGAGGAGGTAGTCCTTAACGATCTAAAAACCCTATAGCTTCTTACGAGATTCTAGCCACCTTCTCCAACCTAGAGCCTCTATGGCCAAACTCTCACCCAACACACCAAAATGGTTATCTCCAGCTAGGGATAATGTAACGCTTAAGTCTTGGTAAGTTCTTCTTTTAACCTTTTATATTTATATTGTTCCATTTAGACCTTTGAGTTGTACGCGGGGCGTACAACGAAGTACGCTTAGCGTACAAGTAATGAGGCGAGTACGCGGGACGTACCTGGTGGTACGCTTAACGTACTCATGCGAGGGTGATCGAGGGTTCCGAACGCGTACGCGGGGCGTATAGTTTCGTAAGTGGGGCATATGCGATGGTTAATGAAAACCCTAAATTTAGGGTATGACCATTATATAAGCATCCTTATGGACTTGAAACTCTCATTTCACTAGCCTCCTTGTTCCATTTTACCCTACTTTCGAACCCTAATCCTTCCTTGTTTGTTTTGGAGCTTAGAAGTCTATTAGAATAATATTTTGGTGCTTTTGAAGAAGGTGTTCACTCTTGAAGATTCATTGGAGAAGTTAAAGCTTTTAGATCCATAACCTTATGAGCTTTTGGCTCTCATTTGAGGTATAAAGTCTTGAGCTTGGTGTTTATTTGCTTAGATCTCTTTTGGGTTGGGTTTATGGACTCTTTTGGTCCTATTGAAGAAGTCTCATGAGTCCATGTCGTTTTTGGAACTTAGAGTTGCCACTCTTAGTGTTATTTGGGATCTAGAGTCATCAAGTTGTCATTTTTTGGGGTAAACCCACCCATGCATGAGTTAAGGCCATTTTCATGGAAGTAGAATGCTATTTTCGGAGTTTGGGCTTATTTGGGGCATGCAAAGTCACTAAGTCAGTAACTTTATGGGTTTAGACGTTAAGTAGGACTCAGATCTGTGATTTGGACCATTGGTTTAAAGCATTAAGGGCTTAGTAGCGAAAAAGACTTAATAGAGGAGTACGTTGGGCGTACAAGCTGGTACGCGCATCGTACATGTCATGAAGCCAATACGCTCTGCATACAACTGAGTATGCCCCCGCGTACTCAGTTAGAGTATGCTTCACATATGTGGGCCTCGGTTTGGGCCATTCCATGGACTTCGTTGCTTTGAGCGTTAATGGGTCATCATAAAATAGTTTTTTGGCTAAGAATATGTTTGGGCTTTAGGGAGAGGCCTATTTGAGGAGTTTGGGCTTGTTATTAGGCCTTTCATATGATGGATTTGGGCTTTAGCCATGGGTCAGATTAGGCCAGGGGTCAATAGGACAACGACTAAGGATTTTTCTTTTGTGAGATTCAGCATCTGAGGTGAGTTGCCTCACTGGGCTATAGCAGGTCTAAGGCACCAATGTCGACCCTTTTTGGTTATGCTAGGATGCTAGGAGTCTACGTGACCCTTGCATGTGTTATGTGTTACTATGTATACCGAGCGGGGCTCGATGCCAGGCGAGGCCTGAAGATTGGAACATATGCTAGAGTTTATGATTGTTATGTGTATTAGTATGATTATGTGATATTGATTGAATGAGCATGATGGGCGAGGCCTGAAAATAACAGATCTGTAAATCGAGTGGGGCTCGATGCCGGGTGGGGGGCAAGTATGTGATTTATTATGTATCGGTATGGGGTAGTTTAGGGAGCTCACTAAGCTTTGTGCTTAATGTTTTCAGTTTATGTTTCAGGTACTTTTGGTAGCAGAGCTCGGGTTGACTGCATCGCACACACCATTGGGATTCCGCATATGATGTTTTACTCTGATTTTTATGACTTTTGATACATTGGATATTTTGGGATGTATGGATGATGCTTGAAAAAAAAACTATTTTATCTATTTTAAATGAAATTTTTGGGACTATATTTTTGGGATGTTACAGATAACCATCTCATCTCTACCAACCGATCTAACTTGATCATTAGAGCTTGCACCCGGAGCATAGTCCTTGGGGAAACTCCAACGACTTTGTTGTGATGGCAAGTTAGGTATCTCACCGGAAACTCGCTAACAACACCACCCTCAGATCTTCGATCCAGATCCAACACAGAAGACCCGACGTCCTGATCACATGTAGCAACATGTGGCGTCATCTGTGGGACCAAGAGAGAATAGCTATCGCCTCTTGATCTTAAACTTAGTTTCGCCTCCGATCTGTTCAAATTTGTTGTTCTTCGCCTCAGGTTTGCTCATACCTGTTCATTTCTGTGATTATCTATTTAGCTTTCGCCAAGATCTGTCCAGATCCACTCCCCAAACATTCAGATCTCTAGATCTGCTTCGTGCTTTCTCTCAGGTCTATAGATTTACTCCGTTTTTGCCCATATCTCTAACATCTGCTTCATTATTTTTGCTCAGATCTCTAGATCTGTTCTGTTCTTGCTCATCTGAGAATTTCTAAAGTCTACAAAAACATTTTCAAATCAATTTTCGCCATATTTTGGTGACTTATTCACAAAGTTGAGGAAAGAAGAAATTTCTAATTCTTTTATTTGTTCATTTTCATGATTTATTCAGTTCTTATCTTATTCTCAGCTCATATTATCAAGAAAATCCATTAAGTTGTTGATTGTACACATAGTTGTACAAATCGTGTAAAAAGATATATTTCTTGGTGTACTAGTGCTCCATTTGAGCCGACAACAAAAAGGGGAAAAAAGAGAACACAACATATCTCGAAAATTATACCTTATAGATCACACTTGTACAATTTATACATAAAAAATACAAGAAAAGTACAATGTTTATTCTTTAGTTTGTCTCTTTCTAATTGACAAGAGAAGAAAAAGAATACAGCTGGACCTGTTTTATTTACATACAAGGCATACATAAGCATATGGGTCCCACACGTTGAAAGTTAGAGTAAAAGGACAAAAGATCCTAAGGCCGGTCCCACCTGGTCAACCCTCTCTTTAGACAATCGGGGGACTCTCCAAATCAGATCCCCTCTCACCGGACTACAACAACTAGTCATCTTCGACTAAGAAGCAACCGTCGCCGATGCAACCGCTATTCATCTTCGGATAACCAAGATGGTTCCGAAGGAATAATTCTAGCAACAATCGCCTCCTCCGAGCACCACCAGTCACTACTGACTCTGCTAAAGAGCCTCCGGCGGCAGTCGCGCCATCTACTTCCTCGCTGCATCACCGGTGAACAAACCTAAAGCAGGACCGGTCGACTACTTCCTCCGACCAAAACATCCAACAACAATGACTCTAACATCGAGTGTTAACGCCCTACCATACCACTTATGGGCCACTGGTAGCAGCTAACAAGTCGTCGTCTTCGCTATCAATTGCCCCTAATCCCGACGACCCAACAGACCCATGTTGCTAGTGAAATCGCACTTCCGATCGTTAGCTACAGGTGACGAATTCCATCTAGGAACCAACTCCAAATAGTGACGTAGCAGAACAACTATTCCATTGGCAAAATGCTGCTCCAATTCTCCCTTGCTGCTGATGAACTCCGACACCCACCTCTAGTGGCCATTTTTATCTTTCTTTGGCATCATACACTCCTTGTTCCCGAGTTCTACTTAAGGATGGAAATAGGAGGATACGGAGGGAAAGTGAGGGTGTCAAAGGAAAATCATGTTCTTGAGTTTCATTAATGGAAGGAAAGTGAAGGGAGGGGAAGGATTTTGGAGTCATATTTTCCTTCCAAAATTTCCTCCCAAATTGGGTGGATTTGGAAAGAAAGTGAGGGGAAGGAAAATTTCAAGTTTTATTCTCTTTTTCCTCCTAACTCGGGAGCACAAAAACTTAAAATTTTCCTCTCATTTCTTTTCATTTCCTTCAAACTCGGGAACACGGTATAATGAATATTTTCCTTCCTCTCTCTTTCTTTCGGTCAAAATTTTCCTTCCCTTTCCTTTAATGAATTTACAAAAAAACTGGGGAACAAGGCCATAGTGATAACGAAGTGGGGGATGCGGCTGGGCACCTGATTATTTTCATCCAATTGTGAAAAGCATCGTGGACCCCATGTGGTGCCCTAAAAACTCTTGCAAGTCGTTAAAAAAATTGGATCAAATTAACAAATGGGTTAAATAATCTCCTCCTTGGACCTATAACTCGAAAATGGGCTCCAAGGCTTATACATTTTATTTGGGCAATCCCAACTACATAAAATGGGATCTCATCACATATGAGTTGTGATTCATTAACATGGGATACCATTAAATCACATTTTAATGGGCTAGCTCAATTACAAAAAATGGGCCATATTGCAAGACGAGCGACGACATGGATCTAAGTGGGCTCGTCCTTCCCCTGTCGGGAGCCATAGGTCCCTTTCTCGTCATCGCCATCGCCTAGAGTCTTATCAAGGTTGTGTAGCTCTAAGTACACGCCAGGATGGGCCAAATGTTATGATAAGTGCTTCGAACTTATCACTGTCACTTGATGGCTCAGGTTGGGCTTGAGCCTTGTAATCACAACAATGAACAGAGAACGTCAATTGACGTCCGGGAGGTGGTCCCGGGACGAAGCCGAATTAAAGGCTATTAATAATAAATTTCGTTTTTGATTTATCAATTAATTATGCTATTTAATTGGTCGTTGCATTTTGATGTTTAATGACATCAATGACGATTTACAGTATGAATAGAGCATCTCTTTAACTATTCAGTTTATACCGAATGAAATGAAATCACTCTCTTCCTCTCTTACGATTCTACTTCTTCTTTCATCTCTTACTGCAATCAAGGTAATTTCCGGACCAAGTAAGTGTTCGAATGATCTAGAAGACCCACTTACTACTGTTGTATCCTATGAAACAAACATCCATATAAAACATATTTGTTTTAAAGAAACTGTATCAAACACAAGCCTCAGGAACAACTTCTGATTTTTGCTCTTTTGTGCATTTTGGGTTATACTTTTCCTAACACATTATTGATATAAATGAGAAGCCAAATAATTATTCTTTAGACAAAATTGCAAAAATGGTCCTTGTGGTATGCATTTTTTGGGGTTTTAGTCCAAACTTCGACTTTTTTGAATTCATGGTCCTTTTAACCTAGTTTGTACGCAAAATTAGTCCCCCGACTTAACTTCCGTTAAGTTGTTTCTGTTAACTCCCTCACGTGCCTCCCACATGAGGGTATATTTGTCTTTTCACTTCTAAGAGACCATTTTTGCACCTGGAAAAATATATCCCCCTTTTTAAAAAATATTAATACCTATTTATTTATTTTAATAATTAAAAAATAAAAATATGGTCCTTGTGGTATGTATTTTTTGGGGTTTTAGTCAAAACTTCGATTTTTTTGGATTCATGGTTCTTTTGGCCTAGTTTGTACGCAAAATTAGTCCCCCGACTTAACTTCCATTAAGTTGTTTCTGTTAACTCCCTCACGTGCCTCCCACATGAGGGTATATCTGTCTTTTCACTTCTAAAAGACCATTTTTGCACCTGAAAAATATATCCCCCTTTTTAAAAAAAAAAAATTAATAGCTATTTATTTATTTTAATAATTAAAAAATAAAAGAGGTCTCTCTCTCTCTCTCTATCTCTTTCTCTCTCTCTCTCTCTCTCTCTCTCTTTATCTCTCTCTCTCTCTTTCTCTCTTTCTCTCTCTCTCTCTCTCTCTCTCTTCTTCAAGTCTATTTTCATCATCTTCAATGTCTTCATCTTTCAAGCATATCACACAAACCACCGCCATAACACCGCCTTTCAACCATCATCTCCAACCCTGGTTTTCAGATTTGTAATAAATGTAGTTTTCAGATCAAGTAAGGAAAGAAACGAGCGAGGAGGACGATTGGAGTCTTCAGCAGTGGCTGGCGATAGTGAGGAGGGGTGGCGTTGATCTCCAGCGAGCCCTCCTTCACTGTTCCTTTTCCCGATCCGACATTAAAACACACATAGGAGGGAGGCAGTTGCAGTCGCCAATCAAATAGAGTGTCATGGGTGCTCAATCGGACCGATGAAGGAAGAATACGATTGAAAGCTGTAAGGGCTGCTTAAGCATTGATCTTTGAAGGAGAAGGAAGGAAGGAAGATCTGAGGGAAATAGGTAAGCTACGACAGCAAATTCAGTGAGGAAAAGTGCAAAGGGGGAAGATACAGTGAACAAACGAAGGAGGTTGTGAAGCTGCTCCCCGGCGAGCCGCATCGTGGTTTCTTTCTCATCATCAATAACAACGATTCGGAAGGGAATCAGAGCAGCTGCATCAACAACGATTGAGGTAGGGTGTTTGGGGTTGTGCTTTTTCGACTGTAGGAGGGTTGCGGAGGTGTTGAACATCGATTTCAGTCGTTAAGAGGTTGAAACTCCTCTTGATCTCGCCGGAAACAGCCATCCAAGGGTGTGTTTGTTTGTTTGATGCTAGACAAGGGATTTTGGGTGATGCTTCTTCAATAATGGTGTTTGGGAAGAAGAAAAGGGAAGAGAGAGAGAGAGAGAGAGAGAGAGAGAGAGAGAGAGATCTTTTATTTTTTAATTATTAAAATAAATAAATAGGTATTAATTTTTTTTAGAAAAAGGGGATATATTTTTTCAGGTGCAAAAATGGTCCCTTAAAAATGAAAAGACAAATATACACTCGCGTGAGATGCACATGAGGGAGTTAACAACAACTTAATGGAAGTTAAGTCGGGGGGACCAATTCTACATACAAACTAAACTAAAAGGACCATGAACTCAAAAAGAAGAATTCTGTATATACCATTCTTAAATGTTAAAATATCATATTTATCCAACGTAATTTCTAAATATCATATTTAGCTTACATAAACTTTCAAAATATCATATTTGTCCAAATTATTTTTTTTAATATTTTATAATCATTTTAAATTGTTAGTTTTATTAATGGACTATTATACCCTTTGTTATTATAGAATTAAAATACAAATATAAGTATATAACTTAATGTCAATCAATATTGTCTTCTTCATAAAAAATTTCCTCTGTTTCTCGAAAAATGATTCTCAATAAATTATTCATCTTTTATGTTCCACGTAAATCAAGAGGAGAACATTGAGATATTCACTTCATGATTAACATATTTTGCTGCTCATAACTTTTCAACTCGTTTGAACTCTAACAATGATTCATCGGTTGAGTATCAGCTTCTTAATTTCT